AATATGACCTATAACTTCATATGTAAATTAAGGATTTGAAAAAAATTTATGCAGAGATTTCGCATGTCACAAACTTGATAATGATGAAGGATGACTGTTTTATATTGTTAATGCTTAAACAATAAAAGAAGTTCTGTATTCATAAAATAATACAGAAAAAATGCGTTTATTTAATATTATTATAATATCCTACAATAATCTACTAATAATACTGATATTGATAATATCAATAATATTAATTTTTCTGAAAAATGTTAATCCTTCGTTATTATTTTTAATTTCATACTAAAATTCTGTAAAATTTAGTAACTTGAATAATGAATTTGAATAGTTTGTAAGATGTAAAATCGAGCAAACCTTTAAACAATACTAACGCAAAGATTTCGATAAAAATTTGACAAATCACTTTTTTAAATTTATATTAAAATTAAATATATATCGGTTTTTTTGGTATAAAATAGATAATAAATGACTTACAACATGGAAGAATCGGTATTGTCAATATCTGATTTGGATACTGATATATGACAACAAATTATCACTAATTAAATTTTTATAAGGAAAAAGAAGCAGATCTTCTTTTCTTTAATTAATCACTTTCCGCGAAATTATAATACATCTATTGTTCCGCGTGGCTTCTGATACTCGGCTCGGCTGACGGAGTAAGTAGCCTAACTCCTTCACTCCTAAAATTACATGTCTCATCTTTTATTAATTACCGTAAGAATGCACATAATGCTCCCAACAAGAAATAAACACTCTTTATGGCTAGTACCGACAGGAGACACTCACCGTGCTAGTCCCGCTCTGAACATCGGAGACCACGCAAAATTCATACCCGAAACATCATGTATGTATAAAAACATGTTAATTTAACAATCCACGCAGCATGTAATTTTTTTTTTAATAGTTACTGCTGAAAATGTTCCAATCATAGGATCGAAACGTATCAATCATTTTCAAGAAAAATCTGCGCACCGTATATCGTGTTTGGCTCATAAAATTAGACCGGTCTTTCCACTTGATGATCATTATTGGAGCCTTCTACTTTGAATTAATATAATTATCTTGAAATGTTTTATATACAAACGGCACAAGTATATGAGTAAAATTTGAAGAACGCTGGTTAATTGTTTCGCAACGTTAATATTTATATTTGAAACCTTAAGCAACAATAAAATGCCTATGCATACATTTAATCCATTTTATCACTTACAGAACAGAAATAAAATAAATACACTTTTGATATAATTTTTAAAGATTGTTAGTTAACTCCAATAAAATTCATATTGCCTAAAAATATTCTATGGTAATTTTATCAAATAATTGTGGAATAATTAAAATTTGTTTTATAAGATATAACATATTATCTATGCTATATAGCATCATAACAGTATAATATTAAATATATAGCACTTTACACTAATCACCACAAGATTCCATATCGTTGATTTAATATACATGTTTCTTTTTTCTTATATTTTAAATTATTTACTAAATATTTTGCAACATATTCATAACACGCTACTGAAACAGTAGCATGTACTGAAAACTGAAACAGTAGTGATCTTATCAATCGAAGCATGCTCGTTAAGCATTGACACAGCTATCTCGAAACACTTTATGTACGTGACAGTGCAAGCGTTCCTCACATTTTACACACTTATTTATCTGTAAAACTTGCGTTATGGTGCAACTTTCGTTTGTCTCTTATTTATCTGTAGTTCTAACATTTTTGTTTGCCTGATTATGTCGTAATTCTGGTGATCTCTCTAATAATCTAGCGATAATAATAGTAATCTATTCTACATGATATATGCACAATATGTATTTCATGGTCAGTATGTATTTTTTATCGTTGTGACTAAGAATGTGACTAATAACGCGAACTTTATCTTTTTTACATAATGTAGAAAAGTCATCGACGGGAAGACGATTCATCATGTTAGCTTTCAGTATCACATAAAGAGAAGAACTTAGCTAATCAAACTATTATAACAGAGATAAGTAGCTACGCATAGTTCGTTCTCTTTGTTTTCTTCTCTTCGCAGTACTATAGAAAACCTGTGCCGTTTATTTTTTTTTCACCAACGTTGAATCAGTTGTAGACAATGCGGTCAATCGTAATTGTGTACCTTTTATCCCTTTGCGGCTTTCTCGACTCTGCACCGGCCGGCATACTCGGCGTCCCGCAGGAAATTTTGCAGCGTTTATTCTCGAACGTGATGCAAACGAGCAACGAACGTTGCTGGTCAAACAACGAATTCACTCCTCCCGAAGTCAATCTCAGTATAGTAAGTATACGAACCTAAAAACGAAGATTGAAATCTTTATTATATTAATTAACTTTAAAATACTGTATTCAATAGCCGAAAACGATCGATTTTACGCCAATTGTCGCGTTTCCGTCCGAAATAAAAATCTTAATTCTGCCAAGTTACACTCCGATTATAATGAGTTATGATTTTAATCTTTCCATAAAATCATGTTTATATCCTTTTCCTTCATGTTTTGGGATCAACTAAATTATTTATTGTTAATTTTGTTCAAGAGCTATTAAATATTTTTTCTTATTCGATATTTAAATTAATTATTTACCTACTTCAATTACAAATTATTTCTGTCAAGCTTCATGTTTTGCAAAATATTTCTCCATTCAGCAAAAGCTCTAATGATTATTTCGTTAAATTAAATAAACAATATTAATTTGTCATGCATTTTAATAATTACTTTTTATATTAATTAGATATTAATGTTGTATATTTAATGTAAAAATGCTCAAATCTCTTTGCTATTTAAAAGATTAAAAAAAGATGTACATGTATCTTTATAAACTTGATTAAATTTTTTCGATTGACTGAGAGGCTATTTATGCATGTTATTATCTGATCTGATCTTTCTTCTAGTAAAAATGATAGCAATAGCAGATTATCTCACGTGACTTTTACTTTTTCCAGCCGCAGATGATACAAAAAGCAGGTTTTCCCGCGGAGGCTCACATAGTGCAGACAGAGGATGGTTATCTCTTAACACTTTATCGTATCCCAGGTAACAACAGTTCGCCACCTGTGTTGCTACAACATGGTCTTTTGACCAGCTTCGCCGATTGGCTTATTCCTGGAAGGGATAAAGGACTTGGTATGACATTAATCAATCCTTAAGAATATTCTCTTCCTGAGATATCACTGAAAAACATCCAGAAAAATTATCAAGTTTCAAAATATATAAAGTTCTAACATAGCTTTTAGCGCATCTTGAAAAAAAAACATATAATTTTATAATATTACTGTAATAAAATGTTATAATTAGATTAAATATATTATATATAACTGATATATCAATTTTATATATATCATATAAATAATATAATCTCTTTAAACCTGATTTTGCACATCTTATTAAAAAAAATTAACAAAATGTATATTACATAATCCTTAATATTTTTCACATAACTCACTCGACAATAATGACTTTTTAATAATTGAATTTTAATAAATCGTTCTACCCTATTTTTGTCTTAATAACATATCGAGATTTTATACATATTATTAAGATTTACGTAAGTACATGATTTATTATAAACAATGATTTTCTTCATGCTAGGTTTTGTATTGGCCGATCAAGGGTACGACGTTTGGTTGGGCAATTTTCGCGGGAACACCTATTCGAGGGCACATATTTGTCTATCTCCATCGGATTCAAGATTTTGGAATTTCAGGTATTTACACTAATAAACTAAAAATAATAGCGCGTTAAAAATGACATAGTTGTAACAATATGTTAACTTATAATAAAAAACAAAAGTTGTCTAATTAATTTTATATTATTATAGCAGTGTACTTTATTATATTTTGTATGTTATTATACAAAATATAATGTGTATTTCTCTCTCTCTCTCTCTCTCTCTTATATTTTGATGGTATATCGATCGAATTGTTCAAATTTTCAGCTTTCACGAAATGGGCGTCTATGATCTACCCGCGATGATCTCGTATATCACGAATATGACATCGCAACCATTGCACACATACCTCGGTCATTCGATGGGCACAACTGCTTCTTACGTGATGGCAGCGGAACGTCCGGAAATCGCTCAAATGGTGCGAATGATAATCAGCCTCTCACCCGTGGCATTTTTGAAACATATGAGAAGTCCGATACGGTTTCTCACTCCTTTCGCAAATAATCTTCAGGTAAAGTACGAAAATACTGTTAGAAATTAAATTTGTTGTGGCAAAACAATGATTTAAAGTAACATTCAATATCCAAGAAGTTGCTTTTATCATTTCTATTTTATCATACGATTTTAGGTTGTATACAAGATGTTCCACTTGTGCATTATTTTCTAGTAATTTAAATTTTTAATTTTTTTTAGCATTTGAATTATAAACAATTGTAGCACTTTAGGAAAGCCAAACGGATAACAAAACCAAGTATATTTTTCAGCTTTCTGATTCTAAGAGGAATTACTTTAACAGAATTTTAAGATTTTGCAATTTTTAAAATATATTAAGTATTATATAGTATTATAAGTATTATAAGAAATGTATTTAAATTTAATTTTAAGAAATTATTCTTCAAGATGTTAAAATTAAAATTGGAGCATTCGATCAAAGCTTCTATACATGAACCATGTTTCAAAGAATGCTTCAAATTAAATGTATTCCTAAATATTCATTGAAATCTGAAAAATCCAATTACAAGCAAATTATATTTTGGATAAAAAAACCTCAATTGTAGAGGATATTACATTATCTTGGCAAAGACGAGTTTCTGCCGCACAGCAATATGACGCACTTCCTGAGCAAGACTGCCTGCGACATGACGCGCATCCAGGAAGAGATCTGTACTAATTTATTATTTCTGTTATTCGGCTTCGACAGGGAACAATTTAATATTGTGAGTACTCCGCGAGTGTCGCGATGAAAATCTTCGATAGGCGTTTTGATTGTCATCATTCCGCCTGTGCGGTCACGGTCTTTGTGATTTAATGCTGATGATTGTTTCCTAGACCTTGATGTCTGAGATTGTGAATTACAATCCGGCCGGTACCTCGACCAAGACACTAGTACACTTGGCCCAGGAACATAATTCTGGCAAGTTTTGCCAATACGATTACGGTATCACAAAAAATCTACAGATCTATAACGCAGCAGAACCACCGAGTTACAATCTCGCAAACATCACCACACCATTTGCGTTGTTCTACTCCGAAAACGACTGGCTGTCCAGCATCCCGGTAAGTAATGGATAAAGATATTTGTCCTGAGAGGATATACATTGAGGACATATATTGAAAATTGATTCATCTTTGATTGTAAAAATACAACTTTATGTCAGGGAAATAATGTAAGATTGAACGAGAACTCACGAAATTTGTTTTTTTAAGGACGTGAAGGACCTCATCGACCTGTTACCCAATGTAGTAGATGAATACAAAGTTCCCAAGTTCAATCACCTGGACTTCTTATGGGCCACGGACGCACCTCAATTTGTGTACAAGAGACTGCTCGAGGTCATGAAGATGAATCCAAAGCCAATTGAACAATATCGTATTAATGATCAGGGCAAAAAATCACAATTGTAAATGTCAATAAAAATATGAATATTAAATGCCCAAGCAGAACACACTCATCACGATGACGCCAAGATGCATGCCCCAAAATGCTTTTAAAATGATTGTCATTTTTACGTCATGCACAACCTGTTCCGCTTAGGTGTTTGAAAATTTACCGATTAATTAAGTTAATTTGGTCAGAATTATTCGAAATTAATCCTTACTGGAAAAATCGCTTTAAATCGGCTTGCGTACCTGCGTACGATCGCACCTATGATTGAATCCTTCCGCCTAACTGCTAACAATAATTAATAGTAACAATTTACTTCGTACATACAAGATTGATAATAATAAGATAAATAAGCGTAACGTCAGAGAGAAACCTGAGAGAGGCCATCCCGGGTCCCGGGCCCCGGGCCCCGGCCTTTTTCGTGTGTTGCTGTGTTGCATTTTCCGACGCGCCGCCTGAGAAAGTGCAACTCAACTACGTCGTATCGCTCGGTAACCGCACATGGTTTGCGTCCGTGCTAATGGTTCGTGTCCAAACACTCCAAACTAGCCAGCTGGAGGGGATCATGGTATAATGTGTTGGGCGTTATCTGTATATACCCTGAGATTCTGAGAAAGGCCAATTCCGGCCTTCCATTTTCGAAATTGCATATTAGATATTTGACATATAATATAAATATATAAAATAATAAATAAGTATCTATATATAATATCTATATGTTTAATTCATATCAGGATCATAAAGGAAAAATTGACTGCTGTGTGAGGCAAGCGTATGGCATTTATTGTTAAAATGAGACAAATGAGACAAATGCATAAACGCGAAAGTAAAAACGAGACGTGTAGTGACGCCGCGGCGCTTTTGAAGTTGCCGCGCGGCGCGCGGAAAACGCGGGAAGCGCCTCCGCCATATTGATGACGTATAACCTTCTCCTTCCATGTCCATTTCCAGGAGGCGGCTGACACGGAACGGATCGGCTCCGGAACGAGCGACGTCGCGACTCATTTAATTGGTAAGTATAACACATATTAATCTTGCGTGCATTATAGTCACTGCGGTATCTATCGCGTAACATAGATTTAGCGCTCGGGTATTGATATTTCTTAAAAATACGTATTCCGCGATACTTGTCCGGCCGAAGGCGCGTCGCACGAGCAATCGCGAAAGTGACGATCGTATTTTCGAGTGTCGTGCCGCGAATATCGCGGATATTTGCCAATAATATTAATACGCTATTCGCTAGAATGCAAAAGAACAATTGCAGTAATAAGCGAGTTAGTAAATATTTGATTTCTCAAAGTTCGGAAAAATCATGATCGCGAACTTAAGTTGGCTACGGAACGCGTAGCCGCGCCGCGGCGCTTTTGACGCGTGAAGTTGCCGCGCGGAAACGAAGCGCCTCCGCCATATTGATGACGTACTCCCTTCCCTTTCATTTCCAGAGAGTGGCGGACACGAAACGGATCGGCTCCGGACCGAGTGGCGTCGCGAATCGTTTAATTGGTAAGTTTGACACATATTGATCTTGCATGTATTATTCACTGTGGTATCTATCGCGTAGTATAGATTCGACGCGACGCTCGGGTATTATAATGATTCTTGAAAATACGTATTCTCTCCGCGATACACACACACACTTGTTCGGCAGAAGACGCGTTGCGAGGGTAATCGCGAAAGCGATCATATTTTCGAATGTCGCGAATATCGAGGACGCGCCGCGACGCCGCGACGCTTTCGGTACAAGAAATTGCCGAACAGGAGACGATGAAGCGCCTTCGTCATATTAATTACGTTCTCTTTTTATTTTCAGAACGCGACGAATACGAGACGGATCGGCTCCGAAACGAGTGGCATCGCAACTTATTTAATTGGTAAGTTTAACATGTGTATATATTATAAAGTGATCTGAAAACGACACTGCGCAAATAAATATTTATTTTCATCAGTAACAATTATTAATAAAAAATTATAGATTATTAAATGCTTACCTCGCGATCTAATACATTTGGTCTTCGCTTCCTTAATTTTAACTCTTCTTTTTTTCCGTATTGTTATTTCTTCGTGGCACTCACATCTGTTTTCTAAAACAAACAAAATATTTATTAAAGGCGATTACAAATAATCATTAGAATACAATGACTGAAAGTATCATACAAGATATGGCAAACCTACGCGAAAAAGCAATATTGCTTGCTTGCTTACACACCACTTTATTAAGTATTTAATTTAGGACGAATATATAAGGAAGAGGTTAAAAGAAATACATGCTTAAAATAAAAATAAAAAAATTATTTTTACACACAAGTTTTATTCGTAATTTCAATACATTTTTAATCAAAGAATAACATCTTAATGATAATGCATTTTTTAGATATCAACTTGTATAAAATTTGATAAGAAAAAATCGAATCCTGATATAATATATACTATTATAAATTTTAATTATTTAGAAATATTTGATATATTAACAAGTAATATTTTATATATATTTGTTAATATTAGTCATGTCATAAATAATTTATTAAGTGTATTTAATAAATCTTAAAATATAATCTAAAATATTTTATTTATTAGATAATGTACTAAATATGTAATATACTGTATATATAGTGTATTGCATGTTTAATTGTTTAATAAATAAAATATTTTAGATTTTACAATTTTTTTATATTTTAATAAATTATTTATGACATGATTAATATCAACCAATATATATAAAATATTACTTATTAATAGATATTTTTATTCCTAAATAATTTTTAAATAATTAAAGTTTATATAATAGTTTAGATTATATCAGAATTAGATTTTTTTTCTTATCAAATTTTATACAAGTTAATATTTAAAAAAAGTATTGTTATTAAGATGTTGTTTTATTAAAAATTTATTGAAATTACAAATAAAATTTGCGTGCAAAAGTTATTTCTTTATTTTTATTTTAAGCATGTTTCTTTTAATCTCTTTCCTCTATTCGTCCAAAATCAAATATTTCTTTAAATTAGTGGAAGCAAGCAACATACTATATAGGTATCTATAAATATTTTTTGTATATGTGTATATAAAATATATTAAGCATTATCTTTTTCTTATAACAAGAAATCCATATTTATTTTAGACATTATTTTTATTTAAATATTTTTGTATGTTACAGATCAATTTTGTGTATAACTCCTCTGCTGTGTGAGTAAAGAAAAGGGTTCAGATGAAAGAACCCGGGAGGAGACTGAGGAGGCCTAGGAAAGGTATCGGGCACCATTGGAGTAACACTGCGGTAAGCATTATTGCTTATTTGTACTAAAATTAGTTGTTTTGTTTTGATGATTTAAAAATAATAATTAGAGAAAAAAATTAATCTGAAATTTTATAAAAATTTATTCTTGTGCAAATTTTTTTCGAAAAATGTAATTATTTTAATAGATATTTAATTATTTTAATAGATATTTAATGAAAAACCATTAAGAAATTTTATGTAAGAATTATCTTTTGAATTATTAATTATATTTTGAGCGTTTTAATTTAAATTTTATGTTTGTATATTACAGAATTATTGTGGCGCTGATTGTACGTGGCTGACAACTCCACTGTCGATTGGTGAGTGACAAAAAGGATTATTAATGAGATAACGGATCTATGAAAATTGTATGAGATATACATATTTCTGCATCATTATAATTGTATTAAAAATAAATATAGAATCTCATAGATCCGTTATCTTAAAATGGAGCTATAACGAATTATAACAAATATTTCATCTCGGACTTGTTTTGCGTTATTCAATTTGGTGTGCTAATGTGCTTGAGGCTACACTCGCACAGGTACACAGAGAAAAAATACAATAAATAGAAATTAACGGAGCCATTATTTTATTTGTCTGAATTCTATTGTTTAGGAAAATAAAACTTTATATTCTTTTAAGTTAAAACATTCAATATATATATATTATTTTTAATATATTTAAAATAAGTATAGTTCAATAAACTTTATAACGTTAAAACTTTAAAATAAGTCTTTATTTTAATCCTATTAATAATAATATTAATAGAATTAAAATAGGGACCCGTTTTAAAGTGTAAAAGTTTTAACGTTTTAAAGTTATTGTGAAGCTATTTGAACTTATTTTAATATATTAATAATAATATATATTAGATATATATTGAATGTTTTAACTTAAAAGAATGTAAAGTTTTTTTTTTCTAGACAATAGAATTTAGACAACAGAAATAAAATATTTATATCTATATCTAGAGTTGTATCTTAATAAAGATAAATAGTTCCATAGATATTAGAAAAAATTATGGAAACATTTTTTTGTGTGTAAATGTACATATATGTACATATATATATGTGTTTCACTCGTTCTGTCTGCTTTCAATTTTGTCCTTCTTTATGTTTATTTTTTTTGCAGTCTCTGAATATCTTCTTTAGTTTACCTATATTTTTCAATTCTTCATACTGTGAGACCATATCCAAGACTTTCTTCTCAGCTGCAAAAGACAAATAAGATAAAATAAAACAATATAATATCAATCAGTATTATGTTAACGATAAGCTAAACTTACATCTTTTCTTGAAGATAGGCTTCTCTCCTCGTTTAACAGATTCTAGTAGCTCTTCCTTTTTTTGCCGCTTCTTTTCTGCTTTCTCTTTTTTTTTTTCTCCCTTAACTGATTTTCAAGCCTCTGAATGAGATATTTTATTTTCTTTATAACTTTTAGATCTGTCGTTTCTTTCAATTTTTTTGTAAAGTTTTGAGGTCGTTTTCTCGTAACTTGTTAATAAATGCATAAGAATGTCTGAAGGCCTTCTCATCAAACATATCACATAAACTATCAAATCTAGGGTCCCGAGATACAAATTTTTTTACTCGAGTTAACTCTTTATATCTTGGAACTGGCTTTTTAGCAGAAATCTCTCGTGGCTTATTCTTATTTTCTCGTTTAAACTCTATTTTCTCAGTTTTTTTCTTACTTTTCTTTCCAAATATTGTCTCATTGTATACCTTGGTACCTAATTTCTCTTTTAATTTCTGTAAATCCTCAAAACTCATATGTTTTAATTCCTCTCGTACTTGTTCCTAGAACACAAACAATTCGGAGCATGTTACCATTCACAAATATATAAACTTTTCTTGTAATAATAGTGCTGTGTTAATTAAAATTAATCTAAATAAAAGCATTTAATAATATGTAGTAAA